TCCATTGGGTTCCCTCATATATTAAGTGTGTGCTCCATAGAAAAAGCTGGGCTCTGAAGGAGCAGAGGATGCCAATGTGTATTTATCTTTTCCAGTCAGAGCTCATCAACTTTACAGTTTGTACCAATTTGGGGATCTACCTGATTTGGTTCTTTAATGTCATTAATCATAGTTCAGTTTTTTGGAGATATAACTATTTGGAATTGACTGAATTACTGCGGTCATTTCTTTACTCCTTCCCTGCATCAGAACTATACATCTATGCCCTTTGTCATGTGCCTTTTCAGTATCTCCCACTAATGTGCATCATGTAATTTCCCTGTCCCATTGATGTTTGGTTTGGCCACGTGACTTGCTTTGACCAATGAAAAGTGGGTGAAAGTGACATTGCGTCAGTTCCAAGGTGTCTGCTTATGCTCTGTCACTCCTGTGATCCACCGTGAGAAAACCTTGCCGATGGTCGCCCATGTCCCTTCAGACTGGGCCCCAGAATTAAGACATACAGAGCAGGCTCAAAGCTGACCCAAAGCCATCAGTCCAGCCTGGCCCAGCCAAGTCAGCCTAGAACAGCTGGAATACAGACCTGTGCTTGCTGTTGTAAACCACTAGGGTGCTGAGGTGTCTGTTGTACAGCAAAACCTAATACACCATTAAAGTGAACTATGTGGAAAAGAAAAGAAACTTTTCTCAAATGAGCCCTAACAACATGCACCGGAATTAGAGCAATGCATCAGAAGGAGATTCAACATACTTCCAGCCATCAGTTCAAAGTGAGGCCTCCCGTCTTCAGTGGACATAAGCATGGCTAGTTTTCCTTCTATCATCTCTCCGTCAATGAATTTTCCATAAAGTGCAGTCCTCTTGTCGGGGTACACATAGGCTATCTTCTCTCCAGTCATCTCCCCATCTTCATTTACTTCTCCTACAAGGCTGCCTCCATCCTGATGGGAGAAACCAAAAACCAGAAAATATTATATATAGTATTTATCTATAGGACACTAGTTCAAGAAATTTCTCTCCTGCACTCCCATCGTTAATAGCACCAATACAGATAATAAGAGTTTGAGAACTCAGAGCTTTTCACGTGAGTGAGAGAAACAAGATGCGTATCTCCTCATCCAGCTCCATACAAATGTCCTGCTAGAGAGTTACTCGTGGGGCATGTCCGCCTGACTTAGACATGGGAGACTGAATTACACTTTGTAATCCTGGCCAAATTATTGATACTTTATCTTGGTTTGTTATCTGAGAAGCAAATATGTTATTTTTTATAACATTAGTTACAAACATTTAAGAGAAATGTAACTTACTTTGGGCTAATATCAAATGTCATAAGGATCTGTAGTGAGACAATCTCACCCACTATTCATACGATCATGTCCGCCTGACTTAGACATGGGAGACTGAATTACACTTTGTAATCCTGGCCAAATTATTGATACTCTATCTTGGTTTGTTATCTGAGAAGCAAATATGTTATTTTTTATAACATTAGTTACAAACATTTAAGAGAAATGTAACTGTTACTTTTGGCTAATATCAAATGTCATAAGGATCTGTAGTGAGACAATCTCACCCACTATTCATACGATCTCACTTCTCAATGGTAAATTTTGGATTTCTAGTCTATTAAGAAAATCCTTAGTTCAAATGTATCTAAGAATTAATCTAGTGCACACAAGTAAAGATAGAATTATTTGCGTTTTCTAAGAGATAAACAAAAAGACTTCTGGATGCTGACTTTCTGAGAATCACTTTTTCGAGTTAGAAGGAAAAGTGAAAAAAGATCAATTAAATCCTCCTCCCTTCTGTATCTCCTCTTTCTTCCCACTCTTTATTTACTGCTCCCTCTCGCCTCCTTCCAGGAGAGAAGCCAACTGTGCTTCATGTTTAACTCTTTCGTTTACTTCATTCCTAGAGTCATTTGGTACTTTAGGGCAGAGATTATCATATAATTCTGTACCCTGGTAAGTGCTAGAGACACAGCAGATGATCCATAAAAACTTTGTGAATTGAACCAGGATACCAAAAAGTAATGAAAAATTTAATCTAGGGTGCCAGAGATATTTCCTTTTTTTCCATCCAATAGGTCCTTATGGTATAACTTTAAAAACATAAGACTTCTGTGGGTTTGATATAACAACAATAATGCCATGACATCTTCTAAAAGCTTGGTTAATTTCTCCAACTCAAGGATGTAGGAACAGCTACTCAAAGTCAGTGATAAAGGATGACTTTTGAGTGATCCCAAATGCTGCTTATTGAGAGACAGCAGGAATAAGTAACATCAGGTACATGATTTCTCCAGCTTGCTGTAGTCTAATTGCTCTTTGGAGGGAAAGGTCATAAATTTAAAAACGAATCACAGAACTTCCATAGAGAGTAAAATACTTGGAAGCATTTTTCATGGATAGAAAGTGCACTTAGGGATGTATTATTACTCTTTCTCCTCCTGGAATTAATTCTTAATAACCCAGCATAAACGGGGATGATACTTTCTGCAAGATCTGCCTTCAGGCTTTCAGTGCCGATTACTGAGCTGAAGCGTATTAGCGCATTTGTGCTTCTTATACGCTGTAACTAATATAAGCCGTCAGCAATACTATTTATTTAAAACAGAAGTCTGTCTTTTTAGGGTCTCACACCCTTTTCCTTAAACGCTTTAAACTTCTGGTTTTGGAGGAAGTGAATTTATCTGCCTAGAATGATAACGCAGAAACTCTTCTTTTATTTCCAGCATTAGTTATAAATTTTTAATTAAAAAGTTTATATCATGGTTCCAAGGTAAATTTTTGAAATAAACTGTCCTTAGAGTGAACTTATAAATACTGTATGGAGAATCTTTATTTTTTTTCCTCCCCTTTTTCCTGCTTTGGCCACATGTCACAAAAGTTTCCTTGTCTGCTGTATTAGTGAGCGCTGGGGAAAAAGCTGCTGCTTTCTCTCCCCCACGCACTGGTTCCTCCCCATGGTGGAGGAATCATTCATTTGCTTGGTGAGAAGGTAGGGTCTGACACCCACTGACACTGGTTTCTCTACCAGGTGGGGGTTAACAGGATGAAAGCTGCTGCTCCCATGTGTCCAGCCTCATTTCTGCTCACCTTCCTCTGGGTCCTGGGAACTGGCAGTGCACTCAGGCTGCACTTATCTCCTCTCCATTCCTGCCCTCTACACGGGAAGCTCCCCCAGGAAGGCCCATTCCCCCAAGGGTGCTGGGGATGAGCTGCTCTGTCTGAAGCTGGTCCCTCTGTCCAGATCAGAGGGGAAGAAGTAGAAAAGCCCATTTTGGCTTTGGATCCACACCACATCTCCAATCTAACATTGCCATAATAAAACCAACATCTTGATCCCTGACGCTTATGTCTATTTCTTAAATTGACTCAGAATTGAGAGGAGAGGGTGTGATTAGCTCCCTCAATTGACAACAGATACCATACATAGAGCAAGTGTTATCAATCAAGTGAATTTTGAAAACTTGTAACTCCCCAGTGCTTCTTTCTTAAGGCCAAGTCTTCTCTTGGTATTTGATAAGATAATAATTAAGGCTAATGGCTAAAATGTAGCTGCATTTTTAGGTTTCAAAGAGAGAGAGGCAAATCCATTCTCCATTCTTAGTGCATTTTTGTTCTGATCTAGGGACTTTAACTGGTCATAGTCACAAGTAAATTGATAGGTAAAGGAAGAATCTGGTAATCCACAATTCGCCTCTTTCCTGTAGTCATCCCCATGTAGGAAGTTCCATTTTCAGGTTGTGAGTTTAACTTTCAAGAGCCACTGTCATATCAGCAGCTCACCAGCAATGGGCAGCAAGGTGCTCACCCTGGCTACTCAGGAAGCAAAGTTTCAGTGTTCCCAGACTGGTGAGTACCTCCATCGCTTCCATTCCTTCTGCTTGCCTTCTCCTGAGCAGTAAGTGCTGCAACTTTTGATCTATTACAGATGCTACCAAGAGGTAAGTGCTTTAGAAATTCTTACAAAATGTTTTCCAATGTTCTTTTCTTATGCTCTGTTCCTAGAGTATAACTTATTTTTTAAGAACAATAATTTGTAAGTAGATATAGCTAGTATTTTTCTTATTATTCATATAATAAATAATTTGTTTTTACTAATACTTTTTAATAATAAGATAAGTTTCAGAGAAAGAAAATGTATTTTGACTTAAGTTCTGGGTAAAATAAAATATTAAATAAAATATTTTCTAAAGTCTATTTTCTGAATCATTTTCTGGAAATTCACTAACAACAGATGGGATATTTGAAATGCAAACAAAAATTACAGCACTAATTCCCAACCATGGGTTTTGCCATGTCTTTTTGCTCTAATAAACTCCCGAAATGTCATAGATGCTATCAAATATTCAAAGGCCAGTTAATTTTAATCACCTTAATTTAAGCAATATAAACCATAAAGCACCTTAAAAAGTAGTTAGGGGAATTGTAAAATCAAGCAACAACAGTGGAGTAACTTTATAAAGATTAGAAATTGCTTAATTAGTTCTTACATATGAGAAACAGAGAATAAAATTAATAGCAACAATAAAATATTCCCCAACCTCTTTCTATATGTCAAAAGAACTAGTAGGAATATATTTTTGCCTCCATTAATGGTACAATAAAGCCAATTTGTCCCAATTTGTTTTAATTATGATTAATCATTCTTTCCCAAACAATGCTGAAAAGTAATTAACAGTAGATCCAAAGACCAACAATCAAAGTCAAGAGTGAAAAATGGTGAGAGGGTATGTCTCATAAACTCTTGGCTTCAGCTGTTGTGCCTCTCTGGTTTCACAGCTTCACAAGTTCTAACATAGAGAAGACATTTTACTCTTTATTGTCAAGAGTCAAAGTATTGTCTTAAAACATGTTACTTTCCAGCAAAATGAACAGTCATAAGGCTTACTGGGTAATATATCCAGCACACTCCATGACGAATGTTATCTTTATACTGTCCCTTGAAGATCAGTCTTCCATCTGTGTCATATTCCTGGGCTGGACCATTCAGCTCTCCGTCTACATACGTGCCCTGGAGAACTCCCCCATCCTCATAAGTGTAAACTCCCTGGCCTTGCAGGGCATCGTCCATGTAATACCCCTCCAGGGTGCTGTGAGAGACGGGAGAACAAAAATGAAGAATCAGACGATGACTCAACTCTCTTAAAAAGAAAAGGTTGCATCCAAGGAACTGCATGCCCAGCTCTGTCTCAACCTTGACATTCAATGCAACCTACTGGATTCTCATAGATTGCTAGGAAAAACACTTCAGAGATATGGGTAAAACGAGGAAGAGACAGAGAGATTTGATCCTTAATCTCCTGATTCCTACTCATCCTTTTTCTTTGCTGGAGGAAATAGAGAAGAAAAGAGCCACAGGTGGAAAATGGAAACAAGTCTCACCTAAATATGTTTCTAAGGCTAGATGCTGACCAATACTGGGCAAGAGAGAGATCCTGGTGTTACCCTTCCCACATATAAACCACTCATGTCTAATTTCCCTCAACAGTGGTCCCAAATTCAGCGGTAGTTCTCACCAGATGATGGCATGTATATAGTGATCTCTAATAACACAAATGTGGTTAGAATGTGTAAAATGTCTACATATGAATGTACTTCAAACAGTTAGTGAATAAATGCAATTAAAAGGTAACATGAATCTTTCCATGGACTTTTGAAGACCCCTCGTATTTTGTTCAAGTCAATAATGTATTATTTATGGGTGACTGCCACAAGTGATATCCAGTCTAAAGAATCTCCTTCCATCCCTTTGGAAGATCTATGGGGATTTATTTAAGAACAGCTATACATATGTGTGTTTATGTGTATATATACATGTACATACATACACAAATACATGGCCAGTGGGGGCGAATAAGGAAAACAGCAGGCTCAAGCCTGCTTAATGTCATTAGCAGCCTGATAAAGGTCCTAGACTGCAAGAAGGCACACTATCTCTCTCATCTCTCTATCTCTCTCCTCATGACAGTCTGCAGGTTTGTCCCCTCCAAAGCTCATGTAGAAGCTGGATCCCCAATATGGCAATGTTGAAAGGTGGGGCCTTTAGAAGGTGATTGGATCATGAGGGTTATGCCCTTATGAGTGGACTAATGGGTTAATGGATAAGTGAGTTATCATGGGAGTGGCACTTGTGGCTTTACAAAGAGAGGAAGAAACATGCTAACCTGCTCTTCCTCAGCCCTCACTATGTGATACCCCACACCACCTCAGGTCTCTGATGAGAGTTCCCACCAAGAAGAAGGGCTTCACCAGATGCACCTCCTGGACCTCGGACTTCTCAGCCTAATTCACTAATAGAAACAAATTTTGTTCCTTAAGAAATAAATTTTACTAAGAAATAAATTTTGTTTCTTATAAATTACCCAGTTTCAGGTATTTTGTTATGAGCAACAGAAAACTGACTAGTACACCTCATAAAACACATTTGGAAGTTCAGAAACATTTTTCAGTGTTAGCCTCTCAAAGGCCATTATACAATGGAACTAACTTTGCCCAAAATTCCCTTTATGTACTGAAATTTGGAATAAATGGAAGACCAGCTCAACTTATTTAAAAAATTTTAAATGTAAGAAATTTAGAAACAAAGACAGCAAAGAAACAAGATAGCATTCATTGATAATTCAACTAGTAAATAGTTACAGTGTGGCTTCTAGGTAGCAGGCTTTGTGTGAGGCTCTAGAGAGCAAGACAAACAAAACACAGTTGAACAGGTGAGACTGGCAAGCATGCACTGTGTACAGGGCAGGGGAGTGGGGTGCAGGGAGATTGCAGACGGGGCCATGGGGACTGAGGTGGCTGCACCTGACTTTGGTAAAGTCTTGTCTTATTTAGTGAATGACTGAGAATGATCTATAATTATTAAATAGAAAGCACAGCCGAAATAATGATTGCTTCTGATTACATTGCAATTACACTATTTGTAGTCTCCCAAGGAGATAAATAGTTCTCTTTCAGTTTTGTTTGTACTATCAATGACAAATAGGCTTACTAAATCATGAAGAGAATAAAATGCACTTTAGCATAGCTGTTGCATAAATAATCAAAATTCTAAATCAGTGAGGTAGAATTAATGAGATTTAACTGTTATTAGACTCCCACAGTTAAAAGAAAAAATGACCTTGGTGAAGGATAACTAATCAACTGACATTATGATGCAATATGTAGTTCAAAAAACTATTTAATCATTTATCTTCATTTTTAGGATTGCCAGATAAAATACAGGATGCCCAGGTAAGTTTGAATTTCAGATAAACAACAAATAATTTTTTAGTATAAGTACATCATAAATATTGAATGGGACATAATTATATTAAATACTGTGTTGTTTATCTGAAATTCCAATTTAAGTGGGCATCCTGGATTTTAATTTGCTAATCCTGGCAACCCTATTGACTTTGGATTCTCAGCAGCATTCAAAATGTTCATGTGTATGTTTGGGTAGAATAATTCCCTGACAGACTATTCTGCCAATACTTCTCAGGTTTATGATCAAATCTATGAGGCACAGGTCTTGCAAATCAGTTAAAAAATAATATGGACTGCGCCGGCCCTGTGGCTCACTCGGGAGAGTGCAGCGCTGGTAGCACTGAGGCTGCGAGTTTGGATCCTATATAGGGATGGCTGGTGCGCTCACTGGCTGAGCGTGGTGCAGACCGCACCCTGCTGAGGGTTGCAATCCCCTTACCGGTCAAAATAATAATAATAATAATATGGACTTGCACATATTTCCCCCTGACCGTATCCAGTGGCTTGTCCTATCCCCCCTTACCAATGGAGCCCCTTTTCAGATTGCTTTATCACAATACTAAGAACAAACTGCTATTTCCCTCTTAGCCCAACTGACTTAAGGTGCACAAATGCAAATTCTTAAGCCATTGGAGAGCAAATCTTACTGTATTATTTTTTCAGTATTTGCTGAGGAAACAGCTTAGCTCTCCAGGCAGTTTTTTATGGTAACTTGGAAGGAATCTGATAACAAAAGGTCATGTTGTACACATGAACTGGGTTCTCCAGGGCAATAAAAATGATAAGTTTTTGAAATCCTCTGTCACTGAGGAAATAAAATATAAGCTTCTTAAACTGGCCTTCAAGTTACTACCTTTCTAACTTTTTCTTTCAAAGGAGGCTGGCAAACCATGGCCTGCTGCATCTTTTTGTAAATAAAGTTTTATTGGAACACAGCCATGCACATTCCTTTCTCTCTTCTATGGCTGCTTTCATACTACAACAGCAGGGTTGAATAGTTGCAATGGAGACCATATGTGGCTCACAAAGCGTCAATTGTACTATCTCATGCTCTACAGAAAAAGTTTGCTGATTTTGCTCTAGAACCCTCTGCTCATGTTAGTTTACTCGCTGGCCTTTATACATCTCAGCTTCCATACTATGTTTTTCCTTCCTTCTTCCCTTAAAACATACGTGAGCAAACTTTAAATCCTTGAGGATACATTCAGGAAAAAAAGTTGTGGATCACAGTTTTTTTCTTTTTTATTCAAAACAAAAATAACCTTAGGATAATAATGAATATTCTCAAATCTCTGGCATTTTTCTATTCAAAAAAGAAAGAAAATATGAAAAAATGACATTATTTTGTAGCCACTAAAATGTTAATGTCTGGTCATATTTGAAAAGTGGGTACATAGAAAGTAGCTTTTTAATCTTTCTTGCAGAAATTGGATTGAGGACTGTGTTTTGGAGCAAGTCTGTTCATCACAGTCCCTATGGATCCTGCTCATCTTCCACATGGAGTCCTACTTTCCCGATATGTCTATCCTGCCCTCAGCAGCCCCACAGTCCACATTAGTTATTGCAGCCTAGTCATTACTATTACAGAACATTCTGTGTCTTTATTGATGTTAAATTTATGTGTCCTATTTCTCTAACTAGATTGAAGCCCTTTACAGGAACAAACTAGGAGATATGCATCCATGTGTCCCTCTCCTAATGTACAAACATAGCATATCTTCAATTGGTATTTCCTAAGTGAAAGAATGGAAATGGGAACTTGGATAATTTTACTTTGAGAAGACACAGAGGGAACGTAACAACATTATTGAAGTGCAGGGAGTATTCTTTAAATGAATTAGATATGCATCCAGTCTTCAAGTTGAGAAAGTTTCTTAAATGTTCTATACTTCATTTCTTCATCTGTAAACTAGGGTTGTTATAAGGATTAAATGTGTTAATATCTCTCAAGTGCTTAGAATATGGTCTGGCACATAGTGATTGCTTAAATAAATAATTTAATAATTAAATAATAATTTAAATAAATAACTTAATAATTATTTTTAAGCCTGCACATTCCTAATACGATGGCCAGCTTTCTACTGAGAAACTGGGTTTAAAACACCATCATCAGGACCAGCCTGTGGCTCACCTGGGAGAGTGTGGTGCTGATAACACCAAGGCCAAGGGTTCGGATCCCTATATAGGGATGGCTGGTTAGCTCGATCGGGAGAGCATGCTGCTGACAACACCAAGTCAAGGGTTAAGATCCCCTTACTGGTCATCTTTTTTAAAAAAAACACACCATCATCAAGGGACCAATTATGAGACAAATGGAATAGACAGTTAAAGAAATTTACAAAACTGCTTTAAATCTACTTTATATAAAAACAAGCAAAAAAGATTCCTCTCTGCAATAATTTATGAGTGATCCATTTGAATGGGTGAAAGATGGAATAAATGCTTTTTAAAGTTAAAACAAACAAATAAAAATCAAGTCAAGCACTACAGAGATGTAGAAAGTAGAAATTCCTAGACTCTTACTCAGTTTGGCATATAGTATTGAAGGCTTTTTTCATTTATGTGTCATGCAGTTTCCCACCTTCTGTTTCTGTTGTTTTAACCAAAAATGAGATCATATTATACACAATGTTCTGAAATTGTATTTTCTTAAAATTCCTTTCAACATCTTGGCAGATTCTTTAATATGTTAAGAAATTACAAAAATGGCCTTTCAATTTTTCAATTTTTCTGGCACCAGCGTCTGAATCAAACAACTGGAAAATGTGAGAAAATTAAAACATCAATTTTAATTAAATTTCTTTCTCTGCACATGACACAGACCATTTTACCTGTTTTATCAAAG